ATATACGACAATGTAGTATGTTTTTGTTTTTTAGAAACAGTATTTAGAAGAAATGGTGAAATGCAAAAATACTTGAGTTTATTACTCATGTGGTGTGTATTATTTAGAAACATCCTCTCTCTTGCACTCGTAAAATGCATAAATGCTATTAATAATGATATGATAATGCTTGTTTAGTATTCATTGATGATTTGTTTGTTTGTTTATTGTTAAGCACAAGCTGCACAATCAGTTATCTATGCTGTGACCACTTCAGGAATTGAGCAATAAATTCTGACGTTATAAGCACTCAGCCTTTTTACTGCTGAGCCACCGACGAGCTTGTTTAGCTGCTCGAAAAAGATTTGGCTTGTTTATTATGTTTTACCTATACTTGTATTATTCCTTGGCTTATCTACATATTTCTTAATTAATTCTCTGGGAAATTTTAATTTCAAAAATCGATATTCATTAATTAATATCAAAAACAGATTTAATATATTTCACTTAGACTTGAAGTTATTGTAATTTTTGCCTGTAATTACTAAATAAATATGTATTAATTACTGACAAATTTAAAATCCAAATATTCAGCTTTTATTAATTTTGTTACTTAATAATGTGTAGTGTAAAATAAAACTCACCACAGACGTTTCACAGTTTCGTGGATTCCTTTTTCTGTGGGGATACCAAATAACACGCTCGAAATACAGAAACGAAGTATAGGCCTCGTCGGCACTGGATTAGGCAGATATAGTATGGTTTACCTATTATAACCAGTTGCCGTCCGTTATCTTCATTACGACGACTTGTTTATCATTCCACACATGATTAACCGATTAGTTGCCGTCCGTTATCTTCATTACGACGACTTGTTTATCATTCCACACATGATTATGTGATGTATTTTTAGGTTCATGTTATTTTGTTTGACCTCATGTCAGAAATATGAAATTAACTTATTAATTGACACGAGTTGTTCTTATTCAGGTACGGTCGTCGAAGTGTTATCAAGTGGCTACTGCGGGAAGCCAAGATGCCGGCCTTAGAGAAGACCAGTACTGGTGCTCTAGCTCTGCACTACGCAGCAGCTAAGGGATGCCTAGACTGTGTGAAGCTATTGCTGGAGACTTGTACTGAACTTAGGTAGGTTCTCTCATATAAGTATCGTGAACACATGTCATCAGTATAACAATGCTTCCTCAACTCGTTTGACCTCAGCAGCTTCGTGGGGGGAGGGGCTGCTGCGGATAGGTATAGCCCCCCGTGCCCCCCTTTAGCGCCGACCCTGAATCTCCGTCTAATCATAACGACATTTGTATCAGCTCTTTTCGTCTTAGATCAGTTATGAAGTTGGTGCTTGAGCTCTTTGACCTCAGAGCAGTTAAAACGTCAACTCTTGTGACATTAAATCAGTTATGATAATGCTGTATAAGCGCACGTGAATTGTATTTATCGACCTCATATGAAATAATTTAATCTTGCCTCTTGGCTGATGCTCTGCTCTGAACATACATTCTGTGCACTAAGAAAAAAAATTATATTATCGATAATGTAAAGGCGACGTTATATTTTCTGAAGAAACAATGATGTTTTGTATTAAAAACAACTTTTATTAGAAACATCAGGGTTAACAAAACATCATATTAAAATAACACTGACCACAGACGTTTCGGATTTCTTCTTCAGTAAGGGATGGAAATTAACACATTAGAATTAAGAGAAAATTTTTGGTGTGAATATGTAAAACACCTTGTAGCGAAAGTCTGTTTTTAGACATATAGACCAAGCCACTTGACGTATTGTTAGACTTGTTGGACACAAGAGTGAGGATGCTTTATTACCTGCGTTATTTCAACTTGCTTCCTTCAATATAAAATTGCTCGGGAAAAGTAAACAGACAAAAAGACATATAAGTTACAACTGCAAAGTTTCTCAAATCATAACCCCAAATATCCTTATTCCGCCTGGAAAAGAAATTTTTACTTTTCAAACAGTTTACTGTTGTTTATAAATTTTCAAAAAAAAAGCGTTATTTATTTGTATTTCGCGCCCTCTAGAATCTTTCATGTTTACTTACACTATGCGGTTTACATGTAATTTTGTTTGTTTGTTTGTAATTAAGCACAAAGCTACACAGATTCTAGCGTTGTGAGTCCGCAGACATACCGCTGTGCCGCTGGGGGATACATGTAATTTTAATAACGTATTAATAAAAGCAAAGAACAATATAATCGGTTAATCATGTGTGGAATGATAAACAAGTCGTCGTAATGAAGATAACGGACGGCAACTAATCGGTTAATCATGTGTGGAATGATAAACAAGTCGTCGTAATGAAGATAACGGACGGCAACTAATCGGTTAATCATGTGTGGAATGATAAACAAGTCGTCGTAATGAATGATAACGGACAGCAACTAATCGGATAATCATGTGTGGAATGATAAACAAGTCGTCGTAATGAAGATAACGGACGGCAACTAATCAGTTAATCATGTGTGGAATGATAAACAAGTCGTCGTAATGAAGATAAAGGACGGCAACCAATCGGTTAATCATGTGTGGAATGATAAACAAGTCGTCGTAATGATGATAACGGACAGCACCTAATCGGTTAATCATGTGTGGAATGATAAACAAGTCGTCGTAATGAAGATAAGGGACGGCAACTAATCGGTTAATCATGTGTGGAATGACAAA